GGTGTAGTATGTAGTATACAGGTGTAGTATACAGGTGTAGTATACAGGTGTAGTGTACAGGTGTAGTGTACAGGTGTAGTATGTAGTATACAGGTGTAGTATACAGGTGAAGTTAACAGGTGTAGTGTACAGGTGTAGTATGTAGTATACAGGTGTAGTATACAGGTGAAGTTAACAGGTGTAGTGTACAGGTGTAGTATGTAGTATACAGGTGTAGTATGTAGTATACAGGTGTAGTATACAGGTGAAGTTAACAGGTGTAGTGTACAGGTGTAGTATGTAGTATACAGGTGTAGTATGTAGTCTACAGGTAGTATGTAGTGTACAGGTGTAGTATGTAGTGTACAGGTGTAGTATGTAGTATACAGGTGTAGTATGTAGTATACAGGTGTAGTATACAGGTGAAGTTAACAGGTGTAGTGTACAGGTGTAGTATGTAGTATACAGGTGTAGTATGTAGTATACAAGTGTAGTATGTAGTGTACAGGTGTAGTATGTAGTGTACAGGTGTAGTATGTAGTATACAGGTGTAGTATGTAGTATACAGGTGTAGTATGTAGTATACAGGTGTAGTATGTAGTATACAGGTGTAGTATGTAGTGTCCAGGTGTAGTATGTAGTATACAGGTGTAGTATACAGGTGAAGTTAACAGGTGTAGTGTACAGGTGTAGTATGTAGTATACAGGTGTAGTATACAGGTGAAGTTAACAGGTGTAGTGTACAGGTGTAGTATGTAGTATACAGGTGAAGTTAACAGGTGTAGTATGAAGAGCGAACAGTGCCACCACACGTCACTATTTCAATGTGTTCTCAAGTCCAAAGCAGCGTTAGTTGCTCTGGACTCTGAACCCTATCACAGAATGAAGCGAGCCACTATGAGTCAGAGTGTTACTGACGGGAAGCTGCACAGGAGCATCGATGAGATGTTACAGGTGAGTGAACAGAGATATAATGTGAAATTAAAAAGGACTTTGGGTAAAGTTGAAGACAAAAGGTGTTCCCACTGGGAGTCGTACACCGACCCCACATTTCAGACCAATTCGTACACCGCTAGTCCAGTCAGGCGTTAAATAATCACATAAAGACGTATAAATAAAAAATGGGCCTTTTTTCGTGCGTTTTTCAAATATTAAACCTGCGGGAAAAGGTTGTTTTTATTTAAGAATGCGTGGCGTGGGTTGGCACTGTTCCCCTCTCCACAGAGTACCTGAGGCGCAGGTCCGGCCGTGGTACTGCGGGGAGCAGAGACACAGGAAGTCTCCTCGGTCCAGCGTGCACATCCCTCCGTTCAGACAGGGGTTCGTCCGACAAGGGTTCAGATCTACCACACACAGCAGGACACTTGAACGCATCACGACTTTATATACTATATCTCCTCAAATAACTGAGAGTTCAGGCTCTGCTGAGAAGGTTTAGAGTATGATGAGTTTACTCACTGATGTATTTGTACCAGAACTCCAGCTGTGGAACAAGACCCAGAGTTAATGTGTGTCTGCAGGATGCTGATGAAGACCATCAAAATATAAACTGTTATTTTTCACGTTGTTCATAGTTCGTAACAACTAGACATTAAGAGTCCTTGATGTCATTTATTACACAGCTTGGTTAAATACTCCATTCTGATTGGCTCTGCAGTGTTTAAGGACTTGTTAGTGGAAACTGTGAACAGACTTGGACAGAAAACATGGATCAGAGCTGCCTTCATTTAAAATTCACTTGTTGTTGTCGGAGGTCCAGCCGTGGAGCGGAGTTTACTTTCTTAGAGGAAGCACTACGATCATTTTAAAGTCAATAAAATAATTTATTGAGTCGTTGTGTGTTCAGTATGTGACCGTGTAATAAGCAGGATAATTATCCCTGACTAAAACATTTAACACTTTACTGTCACGTGGTTCCCCCCCACCTCCTCACCGTCTTCTCCGTGGTCTGGAAGATCTCGGCCGCCTCCTCCTGGGAGCAGACTTCCTCCTGGCACTCCCTCTCCAGGTCTCCAGGGAGGATCTCCTCCAGGAACGAGTTCGCTCTGCGCCTCCTGGAGGAGGAGCCAAGGAGGCGAGTCGCTGCCGGCCTCTGCAGGAACACTGGAGGGGAGAGGGTTACTGTACGATATGATCACAATACGATATTATCACGATACGATATTATCACGATACGATATTATCACGATACGATATTATCACGATACGATATTATCACGATACGATATTATCACGATACGTTATTATCACGATACGATATTATCACGATACGATATTATCACGATATATTACTATCACGCTACAATATTATCATGACACGATATGATCACAATACGATATTATCACGATACGTTATTATCACGGTACGTTATTATCACGATACGATATTATCACGATACGATATTATCACGATACGTTATTATCACGATACGATATTATCACGATACGATATTATCACGATATATTATTATCACGATATATTATTATCACGCTACAATATTATCACGACACGATATGATCAAAATACGATATTATCACGATACGTTATTATCACGGTACGATATTATCACGGTACGATATTATCACGATACGTTATTATCAGGATACGTTTTTATCAGGATACGTTATTATCACGACACGATATTATCAAAATACGATAATTATCACGGTACATTATTATCACGATACGTTTTTATCAAAATACGATATTATCACGATACAATATTATCAGAATACGATATTATCACGATACATTATTATCAGGATACGTTATTATCACGATACAATTGAACACAATATGATATTATCACAATATAATCACGATTCAATATTAACAAGATACTATACCATCCCATGACTAAAGTAACGATACAATATCATCCAATACAATATTATCATGGTACAATATTATCACAATATTATGACATCCCTGAACTAAAGTAACGATATTAATACAATACTTAGGTCACCATACAGAAATATTGCGATAGAAAACGATACGGTACTATCCCTCCGAGTAGAGAATGAGTCCTCCCCCCAAGTGAAGGAGTTCCAGTATCTCGGGGACTGGTTCTCCGTGAGGGGGCAACGATCGCCTAGTGCTACTAGAACCAGTCACTCTCAGTTCTGACCTCCGACCTCCAGTGTAAATGGAACACAGCGTAAACCAGTGGAGGAGGTTCTTTCTCTGAAGCATCTTTTGGCGTTTCAGTCCTCACCCTCAGTAACTCACCTGAACACCGGACCAGAGCGGAGACGCTGAGCAGCGTAAAGAGAGACAGCAGCATGTCTGTCTGTCTGTCTGTCTGTCTGCCTGCCTGTCTGTCTGTCTGTCTGCCTGTCTTTCTGCCTGTCTGTCTGCCTGTCTTCCTGCCTGTCTGTCTGTCTGTCTGTCTGTCTGTCTGCCTGTCTGTCTGTCTGTCTGTCTTTCTGTCTGCCTGTCTGTCTGCCTGCCTGTCTGTCTGTCTGTCTGCCTGTCTTTCTGCCTGTCTGTCTGTCTGTCTGCCTGTCTTTCTGCCTGTCTGTCTGCCTGTCTTCCTGCCTGTCTGTCTGTCTGTCTGCCTGCCTGTCTGTCTGCCTGTCTGTCTGTCTGTCTGTCTGTCTGTCTGTCTGCCTGTCTGCCTGTCTGTCTGCCTGTCTTTCTGTCTGTCTCCGAGGACAGTGATTGTGTTTGAGGTTATTTAGCAGCTGGTTGATGTTTAACCACAGAGTAAATATTGATGGACAGTTTGTACCTCCTCTCCTCTGAGTGTCTCTACTTTAAAGAGTCCTCTCCTGCTGATGTTCAGGTGTATATCAGTATGTAGTGTCTCTACTTTAAAGAGTCCTCTCCTGCTGATGTTCAGGTGTATATCAGTATGTAGAGTCTCTACTTTAAAGAGTCCTCTCCTGCTGATGTTCAGGTGTATATCAGTATGTAGTGTCTCTACTTTAAAGAGTCCTCTCCTGCTGATGTTCAGGTGTATATCAGTATGTAGTGTCTCTACTTTAAAGAGTCCTCTCCTGCTGATGTTCAGGTGTATATCAGTGTGTAGTGTCTCTACTTTAAAGAGTCCTCTACTGCTGATGTTCAGGTGTATATCAGTATGTAGTGTCTCTACTTTAAAGAGTCCTCTCCTGCTGATGTTCAGGTGTATATCAGTATGTAGTGTCTCTACTTTAAAGAGTCCTCTCCTGCTGATGTTCAGGTGTATATCAGTATGTAGTGTCTCTACTTTAAAGAGTCCTCTCCTGCTGATGTTCAGGTGTATATCAGTATGTAGTGTCTCTACTTTAAAGAGTCCTCTCCTGCTGATGTTCAGGTGTATATCAGTATGTAGTGTCTCTACTTTAAAGAGTCCTCTCCTGCTGATGTTCAGGTGTATATCGGTATGTAGTGTCTCTACTTTAAAGAGTCCTCTCCTGCTGATGTTCAGGTGTATATCGGTATGTAGTGTCTCTACTTTAAAGAGTCCTCTCCTGCTGATGTTCAGGTGTATATCGGTATGTAGTGTCTCTACTTTAAAGAGTCCTCTCCTGCTGATGTTCAGGTGTATATCGGTATGTAGTGTCTCTACTTTAAAGAGTCCTCTCCTGCTGATGTTCAGGTGTATATCGGTATGTAGTGTCTCTACTTTAAAGAGTCCTCTCCTGCTGATGTTCAGGTGTATATCAGTATGTAGTGTCTCTACTTTAAAGAGTCCTCTCCTGCTGATGTTCAGGTGTATATCAGTATGTAGTGTCTCTACTTTAAAGAGTCCTCTCCTGCTGATGTTCAGGTGTATATCAGTATGTAGTGTCTCTACTTTAAAGAGTCCTCTCCTGCTGATGTTCAGGTGTATATCAGTATGTAGTGTCTCTACTTTAAAGAGTCCTCTCCTGCTGATGTTCAGGTGTATATCAGTATGTAGTGTCTCTACTTTAAAGAGTCCTCTCCTGCTGATGTTCAGGTGTATATCGGTATGTAGTGTCTCTACTTTAAAGAGTCCTCTCCTGCTGATGTTCAGGTGTATATCGGTATGTAGTGTCTCTACTTTAAAGAGTCCTCTCCTGCTGATGTTCAGGTGTATATCGGTATGTAGTGTCTCTACTTTAAAGAGTCCTCTCCTGCTGATGTTCAGGTGTATATCAGTATGTAGTGTCTCTACTTTAAAGAGTCCTCTCCTGCTGATGTTCAGGTGTATATCTGTATGTAGTGTCTCTACTTTAAAGAGTCCTCTCCTGCTGATGTTCAGGTGTATATCGGTATGTAGTGTCTCTACTTTAAAGAGTCCTCTCCTGCTGATGTTCAGGTGTATATCGGTATGTAGTGTCTCTACTTTAAAGAGTCCTCTCCTGCTGATGTTCAGGTGTATATCAGTATGTAGTGTCTCTACTTTAAAGAGTCCTCTCCTGCTGATGTTCAGGTGTATATCAGTATGTAGTGTCTCTACTTTAAAGAGTCCTCTCCTGCTGATGTTCAGGTGTATATCAGTATGTATTGTCTCTACTTTAAAGAGTCCTCTCCTGCTGATGTTCAGGTGTATATCAGTATGTAGTGTCTCTACTTTAAAGAGTCCTCTCCTGCTGATGTTCAGGTGTATATCAGTATGTAGTGTCTCTACTTTAAAGAGTCCTCTCCTGCTGATGTTCAGGTGTATATCAGTATGTAGTGTCTCTACTTTAAAGAGTCCTCTCCTGCTGATGTTCAGGTGTATATCAGTGTGTAGTGTCTCTACTTTAAAGAGTCCTCTCCTGCTGATGTTCAGGTGTATATCAGTATGTAGTGTCTCTACTTTAAAGAGTCCTCTCCTGCTGATGTTCAGGTGTATATCAGTATGTAGTGTCTCTACTTTAAAGAGTCCTCTCCTGCTGATGTTCAGGTGTATATCAGTATGTAGTGTCTCTACTTTAAAGAGTCCTCTCCTGCTGATGTTCAGGTGTATATCAGTATGTAGTGTCTCTACTTTAAAGAGTCCTCTCCTGCTGATGTTCAGGTGTATATCAGTATGTAGTGTCTCTACTTTAAAGAGTCCTCTCCTGCTGATGTTCAGGTGTATATCAGTATGTAGTGTCTCTACTTTAAAGAGTCCTCTCCTGCTGATGTTCAGGTGTATATCAGTATGTAGTGTCTCTACTTTAAAGAGTCCTCTCCTGCTGATGTTCAGGTGTATATCAGTATGTAGTGTCTCTACTTTAAAGAGTCCTCTCCTGCTGATGTTCAGGTGTATATCAGTATGTAGTGTCTCTACTTTAAAGAGTCCTCTCCTGCTGATGTTCAGGTGTATATCAGTATGTAGTGTCTCTACTTAAAGAGTCCTCTCCTGCTGATGTTCAGGTGTATATCAGTATGTAGTGTCTCTACTTTAAAGAGTCCTCTCCTGCTGATGTTCAGGTGTATATCAGTATGTAGTGTCTCTACTTTAAAGAGTCCTCTCCTGCTGATGTTCAGGTGTATATCAGTATGTAGTGTCTCTACTTTAAAGAGTCCTCTCCTGATGATGTTCAGGTGTATATCAGTATGTAGTGTCTCTACTTTAAAGAGTCCTCTCCTCTAGAAGAATAGGGACTCTTTAATAAAACACAGAGACGTCACAAGAACTGAATATGAAACTTTATTGATACAAACATCGTCAGCGTTACCTCAAACAGCTTACAGAAAAATACTCAAATACTATTAGAGACAAAAACAGATCTGATGGTCCCTGAAAGACAGACAGGTAGAGAGAGACAGGTAGAGACAGACAGGTAGAGACAGACAGGCACAGCTCACCTGGTAGAGACAGACTGGTGGAGACAGACAGGTAGAGAGAGACAGGTAGAGACAGACAGGTGAGAGAGACAGGTAGAGACAGACAGGTAGAGACAGACAGGTAGAGACAGACAGGCACAGCTCACCTGGTAGAGACAGACAGGCACAGCTCACCTGGTAGAGACAGACTGGTGGAGACAGACAGGTAGAGACAGACAGGTAAAGAGAGACAGGTAGAGACAGACAGGCACAGCTCACCTGGTAGAGACAGACAGGTAGAGACAGACAGGTAAAGAGAGACAGGTAGAGACAGACAGGTAGAGACAGACAGGTAGAGACAGACTGGTAGAGACAGACTGGTGGAGACAGACAGGTAGAGACAGACAGGTAAAGAGAGACAGGTAGAGACAGACAGGTAGAGACAGACAGGTGAGAGACAGACAGGTGAGAGACAGACAGGTAGAGACAGACAGGTAGAGACAGACAGGTGAGAGAGACAGGTAGAGACAGACAGGTAGAGACAGACAGGTAGAGACAGACAGGTAGAGACAGACAGGTAGAGACAGACAGGTAGAGACAGACAGGTGAGAGAGCGTAGACAGACAGGTGAGAGACAGACAGGTGAGAGACAGACAGGTGAGAGACAGACAGGTAGAGACAGACAGGTAGAGACAGACAGGTAGAGACAGACAGGTAGAGACAGACAGGTGAGAGACAGACAGGTGAGAGACAGACAGGTAGAGACAGACAGGTGAGAGACAGACAGGTAGAGACAGACAGGTGAGAGACAGACAGGTAGAGACAGACAGGTAGAGACAGACAGGTGAGAGACAGACAGGTAGAGACAGACAGGTGAGAGACAGACAGGTGAGAGACAGACAGGTAGAGACAGACAGGTGAGAGAGACAGGTAGAGACAGACAGGTAGAGACAGACAGGTGAGAGACAGACAGGTAGAGACAGACAGGTAGAGACAGACAGGTGAGAGACAGACAGGTAGAGACAGACAGGTAGAGACAGACAGGTAGAGACAGACAGGTAGAGACAGACAGGTAGAGACAGACAGGTGAGAGAGACAGGTAGAGACAGACAGGTAGAGACAGACAGGTAGAGACAGACAGGTAGAGACAGACAGGTAGAGACAGACAGGTAGAGACAGACAGGTAGAGACAGACAGGTAGAGACAGACAGGTATTTGGGACCTCCTGATTGGCTCCTCGTCAGTTTCTTAAGCAGAAATAAATATTTAATCAGTTTTATTCTCCGCTTCCTGTTGGCTGACCCTGGTCACATGGTTTAAAGGGTTCTGATTGGCCATCAGCTCTGTGTTCCCTGAAGACACTCAGACGTCACGATAAGGCCGCTCTGATGACACTAATGACAATAATATTGCTAATAAAAGTAATAATAATATAAATGGTGATGAAGTGTTGCTCAGCGCTCACTGCAGGTAGCTCATGTTTAGGCACTCCGGATCGTCCAATCACAGCTCAGATGTGATGTCACAGACCTGAGGGTCAACAGATCATAGAGATCAATATATTATAAGTTATTAATAACATGTATTTATATTTGAATGATAAGAGTAATAACCTCAGGCCTCGCTGGCGCTGCTGTTCCTGTTCAGCTCTCTGATTCCCTGAAGTATCCTCTTCATGTGACCCACCTTCGTCACTCCCAGGTCCTACACACACACACACCCACCCACCCACCCACCCACCCACACACACACACACACACACACACACTACACACACACACACACACACACACACACACACACACACACACACACACACACACACACACACACACACACACACACACACACACACACACACACACACACCCACACACACGACACACACACCACACACACACACCACACACACACACACACACACACACACACACACACACACACACACACACACACACACACACACACACACACACACACACACACACACACACACACCACCCCACCCCCACCCCCACCCACACACACACACACACACACACACCCACACACACACACACACACACACACACACACACACACACCACACACACACACACACACACACACACACACACACACACACACACACACAGAGAGACACAGAGAGACACACACACACAGTTTTGTTAGCTTGTAGCGGTAAGTCTTTAGCCGTTAGCACTTAGCCGTTAGCACTTAGCCGTTAGCACTTAGCCGTTAGCTCTACCTTCAGGTCCCTCCTCTCCAGGTGGATGAGTTCAGCTCCGCGAACGTCGTGTCCAACGAAGATGTCTTTATATTCTGAGAGACACAGGAAGTCCAGCCAGTTACCCACCTCCTCCGTCCCCCACTGATGAACTACAGACAGGAAGACAGACAGGTGAGACAGACAGGTGAGACAGACAGGTGAGAGAGACAGGTGGAGACAGACAGGTGAGAGAGACAGGTGGGACAGACAGGTGAGAGAGACAGGTGAGAGAGAGACAGGTGAGAGACAGACAGGTGAGAGAGACAGGTGAGAGAGACAGGTGGAGACAGACAGGTGAGAGAGACAGGTGGAGACAGACAGGTGAGAGACAGACAGGTGAGAGAGAGACAGGTGAGAGACAGACAGGTGAGAGACAGACAGGTGAGAGAGAGACAGGTGAGAGACAGACAGGTGAGAGAGACAGGTGAGAGAGACAGGTGGAGACAGACAGGTGAGAGAGACAGGTGGAGACAGACAGGTGAGACAGACAGGTAGAGACAGACAGGTACAGCTCACCTGGTAGAGACAGACAGGTAGAGACAGACAGGTAGAGACAGACTGGTAGAGACAGACAGGTAGAGACAGACAGGTACAGACAGGTACAGCTCACCTGGTAGAGACAGACAGGTAGAGACAGACAGGTAGAGACAGATAGGTAGAGACAGACAGGTACAGACAGGTACAGCTCACCTGGTAGAGACAGACAGGTAGAGACAGACAGGTAGAGACAGACAGGTAGAGACAGACAGGTAGAGACAGACAGGTAGAGACAGACAGGTAGAGACAGACAGGTAGAGACAGACAGGTAGAGACAGACAGGTAGAGACAGACAGGTAGAGACAGACAGGTAGAGACAGACTGGTACAGACAGGTACAGCTCACCTGGTAGAGACAGACAGACAGGTACAGACAGACAGGTACAGCTCACCTGGTAGAGACAGACAGGTAGATGTTTCTCTGTTCTTGTTGTTTTTTTCTTTTTTGAACTTCGGGACGAGACGAAACTTTGCACTGCGACTCCGTTTAGAGAAATCTGTGAGAGGACCCTGGGGACAGACAGGTGAGAGACAGGTGAGAGACAGACAGGTGAGAGACAGGTGAGAGACAGACAGGTGAGAGACATGTGAGAGACAGACAGGTGAGAGACAGACAGGTGAGAGACAGCCATGTGAGAGACCGACATGTGAGAGACAGACAGGTGAGAGACAGACATGTGAGAGACAGACATGTGAGAGACATGTGAGAGACAGACAGGTGAGAGACAGGTGAGAGACAGACAGGTGAGAGACAGACAGGTGAGAGACAGACAGGTGAGAGACAGACAGGTGAGAGACAGGTGAGAGACAGACAGGTGAGAGACAGACAGGTGAGAGACAGACAGGTGAGAGACAGGTGAGAGACAGACAGGTGAGAGACAGCCATGTGAGAGACCGACATGTGAGAGACAGACAGGTGAGAGACAGACATGTGAGAGACATGTGAGAGACAGACAGGTGAGAGACAGGTGAGAGACAGACAGGTGAGAGACAGACATGTGAGAGACAGGTGAGAGACAGACAGGTGAGAGACAGACAGGTGAGAGACAGCCATGTGAGAGACCGACATGTGAGAGACAGACAGGTGAGAGACAGGTGAGAGACAGACAGTGAGAGACAGGTGAGAGACAGACAGGTGAGAGACGACAGGTGAGAGACAGACAGGTGAGAGACATGTGAGAGACAGACGGTGAGTAGACAGACAGGTGGAGAGACAGCCATGTGAAGAACCGACATGTGAAGGAGACATGACAGGTGAGAGACAGACAGGTGAGAGACAGACATGTGAAGAGAAACATGTGAGAGACAGACAGGTGAGAGAACAGGTGAGAGACAGACCAGGTGAGAGACAGACAGGTGAGAGACAGAACAGGTGAGAGACAGGTTGAGAGACAGACAGGTGAGAGAACAGACATGTGAGGAACAGGTGAGAGAACAGACAGGTGATAGACAGACATGTGAGAGACAGACAGGGTGTAGAGACAAGACAGGTGATAGACAGACCAGGTTGAGAGACAGACAAGGTGAGAGACAGGTGAGAGACAGACCAGGTGAGAGACGAACAGACAGGTGAGAGACAGGTGAGAGACAGACAGGTGAAGAGACAGGTGAGAGACAGACAGGTGAGAGACAGACATGTGAGAGACAGACAGGTGAGAGACAGACATGTGAGAGACAGACAGGTGAGAGACAGAATGTGAGAGACATGTGAGAGACAGACAGGTGAGAGACAGGTGAGAGACAGACAGGTGAGAGACAGCCATGTGAGAGACAGACATGTGAGAGACAGACAGGTGAGAGACAGACAGGTGAGAGACATGTGAGAGACATGTGAGAGACAGACAGGTGAGAGACAGACAGGTGAGAGACAGACAGGTGAGAGACAGACAGGTGAGAGACAGACATGTGAGAGACAGACATGTGAGAGACAGACAGGTGAGAGACAGACATGTGAGAGACAGACATGTGAGAGACATGTGAGAGACAGACAGGTGAGAGACAGACAGGTGAGAGACAGCCATGTGAGAGACAGACAGGTGAGAGACAGCCATGTGAGAGACAGACATGTGAGAGACAGACAGGTGAGAGACATGTGAGAGACAGACATGTGAGAGAGAGACAGGTGAGAGACAGACAGGTGAGAGACATGTGAGAGACAGACATGTGAGAGACAGACAGGTGAGAGACATGTGAGAGACAGACATGTGAGAGACAGACAGGTGAGAGACATGTGAGAGACAGACAGGTGAGAGACAGACAGGTGAGAGACATGTGAGAGACAGACAGGTGAGAGACAGACAGGTGGAGAGACAGACAGGTGAGAGACAGACAGGTGAGAGACAGACAGGTGAGAGACATGTGAGAGACAGACATGTGAGAGACAGACAGGTGAGAGACAGACAGGTGAGAGACAGACAGGTGAGAGACAGACAGGTGAGAGACAGACAGGTGAGAGACAGACAGGTGAGAGACATGTGAGAGACAGACATGTGAGAGACAGACAGGTGAGAGACAGGTGAAGAGGACAGACAGGTGAGAGACAGACAGGTGAGAGACAGACAGGTGAGAGACAGACAGGTGAGAGACAGACAGGTGAGAGACAGACAGGTGAGAGACAGACAGGTGAGAGACAGACAGGTGAGAGACAGACAGGTGAGAGACAGACAGGTGAGAGACAGACAAGGTGAGAGACAGACAAGTGAGAGACAGACAGGTGAGAGACAGACAGGTGAGAGACAGACAGGTGAGAGACAGACAGGTGAGAGACAGACAGGTGAGAGACAGACATGTGAGAGACAGACATGTGAGAGACAGACAGGTGAGAGACATGTGAGAGACAGCCATGTGAGAGACAGACATGTGAGAGACAGACAGGTGAGAGACAGGTGAGAGACAGACAGGTGAGAGACATGTGAGAGACAGACATGTGAGAGACATGTGAGAGAGAGACATGTGAGAGACAGACAGGTGAGAGACAGACAGGTGAGAGACATGTGAGAGACAGACAGGTGAGAGACATGTGAGAGAGAGACATGTGAGAGACAGACAGGTGAGAGACAGACAGGTGAGAGACATGTGAGAGACAGACATGTGAGAGACAGACAGGTGAGAGACAGACAGGTGAGAGACAGACAGGTGAGAGACATGTGAGAGACAGACAGGTGAGAGACAGACAGGTGAGAGACAGGTGAGAGACAGACAGGTGAGAGACATGTGAGAGACAGACATGTGAGAGACAGACAGGTGAGAGACATGTGAGAGAGAGACATGTGAGAGACAGACAGGTGAGAGACAGACAGGTGAGAGACATGTGAGAGACAGACAGGTGAGAGACATGTGAGAGACAGGTGAGAGACATGTGACAGACAGACAGGTGAGAGACAGGTACCTCGATGGCAGGGGACATCCAGGGGACGTCTGCCAGCCGTCGGAGCTGCTGATCCACAGACAGCAGAGCAGAGTCCAGCTGCTGCTGCTGGGGGGCGTCCAGCTGCTGTGACATGTTATATCATTCATTACATCATCACATACATATATAATATCATGTTATAATATATCATATATAAGATACTGTATAGTTACCATGGACATGTTATATCATATATATAATATCATGTTATAATATATCATATATAAGATACTGTATAGTTACCATGGACATGTTATATCATATATATAATATCATGTTATAATATATCATATATAAGATACTGTATAGTTACCATGGACATGTTCCCAGCCAGCAGCAACTCCGTCTCACTGAGCAGAGCTTTGACATCTCCGACCATCTGAAGGACCAGCAGGCAGCTGAGAGCCTGAGAGACAGACAGGTGAGAGACAGACAGGTGAGAGACAGGTGGGAGACAGGTGGGAGACAGACAGGTGAGAGACAGGTGGGAGACAGACAGGTGAGAGACAGACAGGTGAGAGAGAGGTGGGAGACAGACAGGTGAGAGACAGACAGGTGAGAGACAGGTGAGAGACAGGTGGGAGACAGACAGGTGAGAGACAGGTGGGAGACAGACAGGTGAGAGACAGGTGGGAGACAGACAGGTGAGAGACAGGTGGGAGACAGACAGGTGAGAGACAGGTGGGAGACAGACAGGTGAGAGACAGGTGGGAGACAGACAGGTGGGAGACAGACAGGTGAGAGACAGACAGGTGAGAGAGAGGTGGGAGACAGACAGGTGAGAGACAGACAGGTGAGAGACAGGTGAGAGACAGGTGGGAGACAGACAGGTGAGAGACAGGTGGGAGACAGACAGGTGAGAGACAGGTGGGAGACAGACAGGTGAGAGACAGGTGGGAGACAGACAGGTGGGAGACAGACAGGTGAGAGACAGACAGGTGAGAGACAGGTGAGAGACAGGTGGGAGACAGACAGGTGAGAGACAGGTGGGAGACAGGTGAGAGACAGGTGGGAGACAGACAGGTGAGAGACAGACAGGTGAGAGACAGGTGAGAGACAGGTGGGAGACAGGTGGGAGACAGACAGGTGAGAGACAGACAGGTGAGAGACAGGTGAGAGACAGACAGGTGAGAGACAGACAGGTGAGAGACAGGTGGGAGACAGACAGGTGAGAGACAGGCAGGTGAGAGACAGGTGGGAGACAGACAGGTGAGAGACAGGTGGGAGACAGGTGGGAGACAGACAGGTGAGAGACAGGTGGGAGACAGACAGGTGAGAGACAGACAGGTGAGAGAGAGGTGGGAGACAGACAGGTGAGAGACAGACGGTGAGAGACAGGTGAGAGACAGGTGGGAGACAGACAGGTGAGAGACAGGTGGGAGAACAGACAGGTGAGAGACAGGTGGGAGACAGACAGGTGAGAGACAGGTGGGAGACAGACAGGTGAGAGACAGGTGGGAGACAGACAGGTGAGAGACAGGTGGGAGACAGACAGGTGGGAGACAGACAGGTGAGAGACAGACAGGTGAGAGAGAGGTGGGAGACAGACAGGTGAGAGACAGACAGGTGAGAGACAGGTGAGAGACAGGTGGGAGACAGACAGGTGAGAGACAGGTGGGAGACAGACAGGTGAGAGACAGGTGGGAGACAGACAGGTGAGAGACAGGTGGGAGACAGACAGGTGGGGAGACAGACAGGTGAGAGACAGACAGGTGAGAGACAGGTGAGAGACAGGTGGGAGACAGACAGGTGAGAGACAGGTGGGAGACAGGTGAGAGACAGGTGGGAGACAGACAGGTGAGAGACAGACAGGTGAGAGACAGGTGAGAGACAGGTGGGAGACAGGTGGGAGACAGACAGGTGAGAGACAGACAGGTGAGAGACAGACAGGTGAGAGACAGGTGAGAGACAGACAGGTGAGAGACAGACAGGTGAGAGACAGGTGGGAGACAGACAGGTGAGAGACAGACAGGTGGGAGACAGACAGGTGAGAGACAGGTGGGAGACAGACAGGTGAGAGACAGACAGGTGAGAGACAGACAGGTGAGAGACAGGTGAGAGACAGACAGGTGAGAGACAGACAGGTGAGAGGACAGGTGGGAGACAGACAGGTGAGAGACAGGCAGGTGAGAGACAGGTGGGAGACAGACAGGTGAGAGACAGACAGGTGAGAGACAGGTGAGAGACAGGTGAGAGACAGGTGGGAGACAGACAGGTGAGAGACAGACAGGTGAGAGAGACAGACAGGTGGGAGACAGACAGGTGAGAGACAGGTGGGAGACAGGTGGGAGACAGACAGGTGAGAGACAGGTGGGAGACAGACAGGTGAGAGACAGACAGGTGAGAGACAGACAGGTGAGAGACAGACAGGTGAGAGACAGACAGGTGAGACAGTATATGTTACCTGGGGGGTCTTGGAGTACACCTGGTCCATGCTCTTGCAGCTGGCGTTGACGGCGTGGGCCAGCTCCTGCTCCAGGGGGGGGGTGTGACTGAGCCCCCTCATGGATACTGACAAACAACAATATACTAAATCACATCCAAATATATAACAATAACAATATTGATTGTATCACCTGTGTATTAATATATATCACCTGTGTATTAATATATATCACCTGTGTATTAATATATATCACCTGTGTATAAATATATATCACCTGTGTATTAATATATATCACCTGCTGTGTATTAATATATATCACCTGTATAATACTAACTCACCTGTGAATGAGCGCGCCGGCTGCCTGTCCGAAGTCGCTCACGAGTGACGCCTCTTCTTCAGAGAGGATCTCCGGCTGAGAGGAGAGGGGGGGCTGAGGGGGGGGGGGACTCACACCTCTGTTTGTTCTCCCAGGACTTCAGGGTGCTCTCAAACGCCTGAAACACAAGTAGTGAAACTCTTCAATACGTCTGTATAACGTGGGGAAACCTGTGTGAGGGTCAGGGTCAGGGTCAGGGTTAGGGTCAGGGTCAGGGTCAGGGTGAGGGTCAGGGTCAGGGTCAGGGTGAGGGTCAGGGTGAGGGTCAGGGTGAGGGTCAGGGTGAGGGTCAGAGTCAGGGTGAGGGTCAGGGTGAGGGTCAGGGTCAGGGTCAGGGTGAGGGTCAGGGTGAGGGTCAGGGTGAGGGTCAGGGTCAGGGTGAGGGTCAGGGTCAGGGTCAGGGTCAGGGTGAGGGTCAGGGTGAGGGTCAGGATGAGAGTGAGGGTCAGAGTCAGGGTGAGGGTCAGAGTCAGGGTGAGGGTCAGAGTCAGGGTGAGGATCAGAGTCAGGGTGAGGATCAGAGTCAGGGTGAGGGTCAGAGTCAGGGTGAGGATCAGAGTCAGGGTGAGGGTCAGAGTCAGGGTGAGGGTCAGAGTCAGAGTCAGGGTGAGGATCAGAGTCAGGGTGAGGGTCAGAGTCAGAGTCAGGGTGAGGGTCAGAGTCAGGGTGAGGGTCAGAGTCAGAGTCAGGGTGAGGGTCAGAGTCAGGGTGAGGGTCAGAGTCAGAGTCAGGGTGAGGATCAGAGTCAGGGTGAGGGTCAGAGTCAGAGTCAGGGTGAGGGTCAGAGTCAGGGTGAGGATCAGAGTCAGGGTGAGGGTCAGAGTCAGAGTCAGGGTGAGGGTCAGAGTCAGGGTGAGGGTCAGAGTCAGAGTCAGGGTGAGGATCAGAGTCAGGGTGAGGGTCAGAGTCAGAGTCAGGGTGAGGGTCAGAGTCAGGGTGAGGATCAGAGTCAGGGTGAGGGTCAGAGTCAGGGTGAGGATCAGAGTCAGGGTGAGGGTCAGAGTCAGAGTCAGGGTGAGGATCAGAGTCAGGGTGAGGGTCAGAGTCAGGGTGAGGGTCAGAGTCAGAGTCAGGGTGAGGGTCAGAGTCAGGGTGAGGGTCAGAGTCAGAGTCAGGGTGAGGGTTAGAGTCAGAGTCAGGGTGAGGGTCAGAGTCAGGGTGAGGACCCATGGTGACGAGGCGTGGGGTGGGGACGGTTAGCAGACCAGCAGAGGAGGAGTGGAGGGAGCGAGAGGGGGTGTACTCCTGAAGAAGGTCAGCCAGATGGGGGGGGGGCAGGTTATGTAGGGCTTTGTAAGTGAGCAGTAGGTTTTTGAAGTTGATGCGGGATTGAACGGGGAGCCAGTGGAGTTGGATGAGGATAATAATAATAATAATTCCTTATATTTATTATAGCGCTTTTTCCATGACCCAAAGCGCTTTACAGATACACATTACACATACATGTAACGGTCATGTACTGTGGACAATACCCACAGGAGCAAGTTCAGGTGAAGTGTCTTGCCCAAGGACACAACGGCTTTACAGACGCAGCGGAGGCGGGTTTGACCCCCTTGATCTGATGATCAATGCACAGCCCACTGCGCCACACCGCCCATCTTCACACCTCAAAGTCATCAAGGCGCTTTACAAGTACACATTAGTGTCATACATGTACTGTGGACAATACCCACAGGAGCAAATTCGGGTGAAGTGTCTTGCCCAAGGACACAACGGCCTGACGCAGTGGCGGCGGGAGCGGGTTTCGAACTGGAGTTCCCCAACGCCCCCTTGATCTGATGATCAAACGCACAGCCCGCTGCGCCACTCCGCCCCATGGGGGGTTCTGAGGCCTTGGTGCCGGTGAGGGTCCGGGTTCTGAGGCCTTGGTGCCGGTGAGGATCCGGGTTCTGAGGCCTTGGTGCCGGTGAGGGTCCGGGCTGCAGAGTTCTGTATGATTTGTAGTTTGTTGATGAGCTTGGTGGGAATGCCTGAGAGGATGGCGTTACAGTAGTCGATGCGGGACGTGACAAATGCATTGACCAGGACTTCAGTGTTTGATTGAGGAAGGGATGGGCGGAGGCTGGAGATGTTGCGTATGTGGAAGAAAGCAGTCCGGGTGATGTTATTTATGTGAGGTGAAAATGAGAGGGAGCTGTCCAGGATGACACCAAGGCTCTTGGCCAGAGAAGGGGATGGAGTAGCCATCAATGATGAGGTTGGAGGCAGGGGAGGATGAGGTTTTGGAGAGGGTGCTTTTGGTGCCAACCAGCAGGGCTTCGGTTTTGCTGCCGTTGAGTTTTAGGAAGTTCCTGCTCATCCAGCTCCTGATGTCCTGGAGGCAGTTGGTGAGAGAGGTTGGGGGGAGGGCAGTGTTGGGTTTGCTGGAAATGTAGACCTGGGTATCATTGGCGTAACAGTGGAAATGGACATTATGATGACGGAGGATAGTGCTAAGGGGGAGTAGGTAGATAATAAACAGGAGTGGACCCAATACTGACCCCTGGGGAACACCATGTGAGACAGTGGAGCAGCTTGACCGGTGGGTGCTGAGACGGACATATTGTTTTCTGTCTGTGAGGTAGGATGAAAACCATGAGAGTGCAGTACCAGTGATCCCAATGCGAGATGGTGTCAAAGCCAGCTGAGAGGTCAAGGAGGATTAGGATGGTGAGCAGTCCAGAGTCAGCTGCACGGAGGAGGTCGTTGGTGATTTTTACCAGCGCTGTTTCGGTGCTGTGCTTTGAGCGGAAACCCGATTGGAAGGGTTCATGAAGGTTGTTTTTGTCCAGGTGTTGTTGAAGTTGGTCAGCAACCACTCTTTCAAGGGTTTTTGAGATGAAGGAGAGGTTAGAGATGGATCTGTAGTTATTCAGGTCATCTCGGACAGCTCCAGGTTTTTTGAGTGTTGGTGTTATTGCAGCAGTTTTGAGGTTTGGCGGTACAGTTCCAGTTGCGAGGGACGAGTTAATGATTCTTGTGATCAAGGGGCAAGTAGAGGGCACACAGGCTTTAACGAGGGCAGTGGGGAGTGGGTCAAGCTGACAGGTAGTAGGTTTGGATTTACGGATGAGCTCAGTGATGGAGAACTGAGTAGCTGCTAAAGAATTGGACAGGGTGGGGATTAGCTGGTGACTGGTGCAGCTCAGCCACTGTGGCTCGTCTCTGGAGGTGCTAGATGCAGCCAGTCGTCTCTGGAGGTGCTAGATGCAGCCAGTCGTCTCTGGAGGTGCTAGATGCAGCCAGTCGTCTCTGGAGGTGCTAGATGCAGCCAGTCGTCTCTGGAGGTGCTAGATGCAGCCAGTCGTCTCTGGAGGTGCTAGATGCAGCCAGTCGTCTCTGGAGGTGCTAGATGCAGCCAGTCGTCTCTGGAGGTGCTAGATGCAGCCAGTCGTCTCTGGAGGTGCTAGATGCAGCCAGTCGTCTCTGGAGGTGCTAGATGTAGCCAGTTGTCTCTGGAGGTGCTAGATGCAGCCAGTCGTCTCTGGAGGTGCTAGATGCAGCCAGTCGTCTCTGGAGGTGCTAGATGCAGCCAGTCGTCTCTGGAGGTGCTAGATGCAGCCAGTCGTCTCTGGAGGTGCTAGATGTAGCCAGTTGTCTCTGGAGGTGCTAGATGCAGCCAGTCGTCTCTGGAGGTGCTAGATGCAGCCAGTCGTCTCTGGAGGTGCTAGATGAGATGTCTGTGGGGAGGGTTGTGGGAGGTTGAAGTAGGTGTCTGACGGTTGAGAAGAGGTTTCTCGTGTTACCTTGTCCAGAACTGATGAGGTTGGAGTAGTAGGAGGACTTAGCGGTGGTGAGGGCGTTCTTGTAAAGGCAGAGATGTTTTTTGTAGAGCTGTATGTGGATTAAGAGTCCAGTCTTTTTGCACAGACGTTCAAGACGCTGGCCAGTGGTTTGTAGCTGGTGGAGGCAGCAGTGTACCAGGGAGCAGTGTACCAGGTAGCAGTGTACCAGGTAGCAGTGTACCAGGTAGCAGTGTACCAGGGAGCAGTGTACCAGGGAGCAGTGTACCAGGGAGCAGTGTACCAGGTAGCAGTGTACCAGGGAGCAGTGTACCAGGGAGCAGTGTACCAGGGAGCAGTGTACCAGGTAGCAGTGTACCAGGGAGCAGTGTACCAGGGAGCAGTGTACCAGGTAGCAGTGTACCAGGGAGCAGTGTACCAGGGAGCAGTGTACCAGGGAGCAGTGTACCAGGTAGCAGTGTGCACAAATGAGACGATGCCAGACTTCAGGGGAGCCAGCGCATCCAGGGAAGATGCCAGACAGTTGTTGTAGTGACTCACCAGTTCAGCAGGGGTTGAGGAGGAGGATGGGGGTGGACTGGGCTCGGAGGTAATAAGGGAGTTAAGGTCTCTGGGGTCAATGCGTTTGATGTTTCTGAAGGTGATGGTCTGCAGTGCTCTTGTTTCAGAGAGCGGGACATTTAGCTCAAAAAGCACAGATTTATGGTCAGAGATGGAACTCAGCGTCAGTGAGGTTACAAGGAGTGACACAACAGACTAGGTCTAATATGTGACCTATGTGTGCAGTACAGTGTGTAGTACAGTGTGTAGTACAGTGTGTAGTACAGTGTGTAGTACAGTGTGTAGTACAGTGTGCAGTACAGTGTGCAGTACAGTGTGTAGTACAGTGTGCAGTACAGTGTGTAGTGTGTAGTACAGTGTGTAGTACAGTGTGTAGTACAGTGTGTAGTACAGTGTGCAGTACAGTGTGCAGTACAGTGTGTAGTACAGTGTGCAGTACAGTGTGCAGTACAGTGTGTAGTGTGTAGTACAGTGTGCAGTACAGTGTGCAGTACAGTGTGTAGTGTGTAGTACAGTGTGTAGTACAGTGTGTAGTACAGTGTGTAGTACAGTGTGCAGTACAGTGTGCAGTACAGTGTGTAGTACAGTGTGCAGTACAGTGTGTAGTGTGTAGTACAGTGTGTAGTACAGTGTGTAGTACAGTGTGTAGTACAGTGTGTAGTGTGTAGTACAGTGTGTAGTACAGTGTGTAGTACAGTGTGTAGTACAGTGTGTAGTACAGTGTGTACAGTGTGTAGTACAGTGTGTAGTACAGTGTGTAGTACAGTGTGTAGTACAGTGTGTAGTACAGTGTGTACAGTGTGTAGTACAGTGTGTAGTACAGTGTGTAGTACAGTGTGCAGTACAGTGTGCAGTACAGTGTGTAGTACAGTGTGTAGTACAGTGTGCAGTACAGTGTGTAGTGTGTAGTACAGTGTGTAGTACAGTGTGTAGTACAGTGTGTAGTGTGCAGTACAGTGTGTAGTACAGTGTGTAGTACAGTGTGCAGTACAGTGTGTAGTGTGCAGTACAGTGTGTAGTGTGTAGTACAGTGTGTAGTACAGTGTGTAGTACAGTGTGCAGTACAGTGTGTAGTGTGTAGTACAGTGTGTAGTACAGTGTGTAGTACAGTGTGTACAGTGTGTAGTACAGTGTGTAGTACAGTGTGTAGTACAGTGTGCAGTACAATGCGTAGTGTGTAGTACAGTGTGTAGCACAGTGTGTAGTACAGTGTGCAGTACAGTGCGTAGTGTGTAGTACAGTGTGTAGTACAGTGTGCAGTACAGTGTGTAGTGTGTAGTACAGTGTGTAGTGTGCAGTACAGTGTGCAGTACAGTGTGCAGTACAGTGTGTAGTACAGTGTGCAGTACAGTGTGCAGTACAGTGTGTAGTACAGTGTGCAGTACAGTGTGTAGTACAGTGTGCAGTACAGTGTGTAGTACAGTGTGTAGTACAGTGTGTAGTACAGTGTGCAGTACAGTGTGTAGTGTGTAGTACAGTGTGTAGTACAGTGTGTAGTACAGTGTGTAGTGTGTAGTGTGTAGTACAGTGTGTAGTACAGTGTGTAGTACAGTGTGTAGTACAGTGTGTACAGTGTGTAGTACAGTGTGTAGTACAGTGTGTAGTACAGTGTGCAGTACAGTGTGTAGTGTCTAGTACAGTGTGTAGTGTGTAGTACAGTGTGTAGTACAGTGTGTAGTACAGTGTGTAGTACAGTGTGCAGTACAGTGTGTAGTGTGTAGTACAGTGTGTAGTACAGTGTGTAGTACAGTGTGTACAGTGTGTAGTACAGTGTGTAGTACAGTGTGTAGTACAGTGTGCAGTACAATGCGTAGTGTGTAGTACAGTGTGTAGTACAGTGTGTAGTACAGTGTGTAGTACAGTGTGTAGCACAGTGTGTAGTACAGTGTGCAGTACAGTGCGTAGTGTGTAGTACAGTGTGTAGTACAGTGTGCAGTACAGTGTGTAGTACAGTGTGTAGTGTGTAGTACAGTGTGCAGTACAGTGTGTAGTACAGTGTGTAGTACAGTGTGTAGTACAGTGTGTACAGTGTGTAGTACAGTGTGTAGCACAGTGTGTAGTACAGTGTGTACAGTGTGTAGTACAGTGTGTAGCACAGTGTGTAGTACAGTGTGCAGTACAGTGCGTAGTGTGTAGTACAGTGTGTAGTACAGTGTGTAGTACAGTGTGTACAGTGTGTAGTACAGTGTGTAGCACAGTGTGTAGTACAGTGTGCAGTACAATGCGTAGTGTGTAGTACAGTGTGTAGTACAGTGTGTAGTACAGTGTGTACAGTGTGTAGTACAGTGTGCAGTACAGTGTGTAGTACAGTGTGCAGTACAGTGCGTAGTGTGTAGTACAGTGTGTAGTACAGTGTGCAGTACAGTGTGTAGTACAGTGTGTAGTGTGTAGTACAGTGTGTAGTACAGTGTGTAGTGTGTAGTACAGTGTGCAGTACAGTGTGTAGTACAGTGTGTAGTACAGTGTGCAGTACAGTGTGCAGTACAGTGTGTAGTACAGTGTGTAGTACAGTGTGTAGTGTGTAGTACAGTGTGTAGTACAGTGTGTAGTGTAGTGTGTTGCTCACCCGGTCCCTGGTCAGGGTCTGGCTCCGGTTCTTGTGGAAGATCCGGATGAACCCTGGTCTCTGGACCCAGGCCTCCCCGTCCACCTGCACCGGGACGCCCTCCTCCCCCAGGATGGTGATCCTCACTGTGCGGCACTGAGGGGGGACACCACAGAAGAAGAACTCTCTGAAGGTGTTTAAGGACAGCTCATAGGACAGGGACACCACAGAAGAAGAACTCTCTGAAGGTGTTTAAGGACAGCTCATAGGAGAGGGACACCACAGAAGAAGAACAGGGGCTGCAGTCGAATAGTCAGTGGGTGTTTCTCAATAGCCGCGTTCACACCAGAGTACTTTTCCCCGTACTTTTCACGTTTAGTTCCGTTAGTACCCCTTATGTCGCGTTCACACCAAAAAGAGCACTTCATCTCGGGAACTTTTACCCCCATGTTTAGAGCCCGCTGAGAGAGTGTACTTTCCTGGGGGTGAAAAGTGCCCCACTGCTGATTGGCTGGGCGAATTGCAAACCACGCCCCGTACAACTGTGAAAATGTTTTGTAGAGCCGCCATTGTTTTTCCTCGCTACAAAAACCCAGCGCACCGACGGAGAGAGTAGTTTGTTTTTGAAATCAGTTATGGCAAGCATCAAGAAATCATCGGAGCGGTGGAGTGATTCTGGAGATCTACGCCGAGGACGCGACCCAGGGAAAGCTACTGAAGCCAGTTCAGTAGCTTTCACTCGACCTGGGAATGTGCACAGCCCCACGGCACACCGGCTAAAAATAAAGAAACTCGGGCAGGACTACAAACGGCGGATTCAGTGGCCAACGATGACGACCACAACGAAGGTAAAATCAGCTACATGCACTGGGGTTTTAATCTGCACAATAATGGTCTCAGATGTACTTTTATTTGCTCAGTAGATCAAGCTAGCCATGCTAGGCTGAATAGGCTAACACCGGCCCCGAGCTAGCTACATCTAGCTAGCTAGATATTCTCGGCCGCTATGAAAACGTTTTGACTTGTGAATAACTGTGCAGTGTTTCTGTAATTTGCTTCACTAACTCATGGCACTAATCGTGTGTTTCAGGCGAGGATGGACAACTCTCGGGATTGGAAACAAGCGAGCTTTCCCCTCCAGATCACAGCGCTTGCTCGTCCCCCTTAGGTACACACACTGTAACTTTGTCTTGAAAGAACGTTACGCATCGAACTGATGTTCACAATCATGTTTATTTCCTTCTTGGTACAATTATGAAACAGCGTGAAAACGTATTCGCCTAGACCGGCATTTACAAATGTTCGCGCCTTTTTACTCTCTCACAAACATTGTAAACATCCGGGCTAGAGGTCACATGACTTCCGGTAAGAAAACTTGCCTCAACAACATTAAACAAAGTTCAAGCATACATGAAGCACTCTTCAAAAATACAAAACAATAAAGAAGGGCACTTTGAGCGGCAGCCACACACACACACACACACACACACACACACACACACACACACACACACACACACACACACACACACACACACACACACACACACACACACACACACACACACACACACACACACACACACACACACACACACACACACACACACACACACACACACACACACACACACACACACACACACACACACACACACACGGGGATCAGATGGTGCTGTTCACCAAGGCCCAGGAAACGGAGGACAAGATGCTCACCAGTTCATTTTATATTATTGTTATTACTGTTATTATATAGTCTTGATACAACTGACACTTTATTTTATATTGATAATGTTAATTTACATGTACAACTTCTATTTTATTTACATTAAAAATGTGAACTTCTATTTACTGTTAAACAGATCCTGTATCTTGCTTATTTCTCCTGACACTTTATCTTTAGTGACCGTAGCATCCTATACATCACATGTAAGTGATTATTCTGATACCATCATGTTTCATCGGTTATAAACTGGCAAAGCTTTATTTGTCATTTATCATCAATGTTGCAACCTTGTGGAGGAATGGCAGGGGCACATACACACATATGATCATTTATATCATTTTAAATATTATTTGACCTAAAACTAAATGTGTTTATGATTGTCCTCTGAGGAGGACATGGGGATTTGCAAACTTTTAATTCCCCCTCCCCATTTCACACAACACAAAATGGAGTCCACTATGGGCCGAAACTAACATGTATGTTTCCATAGTGTTTATGGCAGACGGATGCAGTGGGTCTCAGGAAGATATATAAGAAAGGTGGGTTTGCTGCTGAGCCTATTTACTGTGCATACAACACACCTGGCACAGTTTATTGTTATTATATTGCCACACTGTACACTATTGTAATGTTGCCTGTCTTGACTGGAAAATAAAAGAGAAACAAAAGCACTGTACAAAAGATCAGCTTTATTGTCAAAATGTTTACAATTGACACGCTGTTCAGATGCCTCATAAGGGCTGTTCAGATGCCTCATGAGGGCTGTTCAGATGCCTCATAAGGGCTGTTCAGATGCCTCATAAGGGCTGTTCAGATGCCTCATAAGGCTGTTCAGATGCCTCATAAGAGCTGTTCAGATGCCTCATGAGGGCTGTTCAGATGCCTCATAAGAGCTGTTCAGATGCCTCATAAGGGCTGTTCAGATGCCTCATAAGGGCTGTTCAGATGCCTCATAAGGGCTGTTCAGATGCCTCATAAGAGCTGTTCAGATGCCTCATGAGGGCTGTTCAGATGCCTCATGAGGGCTGTTCAGATGCCTCATAAGGGCTGTTCAGATGCCTCATAAGAGCTGTTCAGATGCCTCATAAGGGCTGTTCAGATGCCTCATAAGAGCTGTTCAGATGCCTCATAAGGGCTGTTCAGATAAGTAGGCTGTTCAATGCCTCATAAAGGGCTGTTCAGATGCCTCATAAGAGCTGTTCAGATGCCTCATAAGAGCTGTTCAGATGCCTCATAAGGGCTGTTCAGATGCCTCATGAGGGCTGTTCAGATGCCTCATGAGGGCTGTTCTGATGCCTCATAAGGGCTGTTCAGATGCCTCATAAGAGCTGTTCAGATGCCTCATGAGGGCTGTTCAGATGCCTCATAAGGGCTGTTCAGATGCCTCATAAGAGCTGTTCAGATGCCTCATAAGAGCTGTTCAGATGCCTCATAAGGGCTGTTCAGATGCCTCATAAGAGCTGTTCAGATGCCTCATAAGGGCTGTTCAGATGCCTCATAAGAGCTGTTCAGATGCCTCATAAGAGCTGTTCAGATGCCTCATAAGAGCTGTTCAGATGCCTCATAAGGGCTGTTCAGATGCCTCATAAGGGCTGTTCAGATGCCTCATAAGAGCTGTTCAGATGCCTCATAAGGGCTGTTCAGATGCCTCATGAGGCTGTTCAGATGCCTCATGAGGGCTGTTTCAGATGCCTCATAAGGGCTGTTCAGATGCCTCATAAGGGCTGTTCAGATGCCTCCATGAGGGCTGTTCAGATGCCTCATGAGAGGCTGTTCAGATGCCTCATAAGAGCTGTTCAGATGCCTCATAAGGGCTGTTCAGATGCCTCATAAGAGCTGTTCAGATGCCTCATAAGGGCTGTTCAGATGCCTCATAAGAGCTGTTCAGATGCCTCATAAGAGCTGTTCAGATGCCTCATGAGGGCTGTTCAGATGCCTCATAAGAGGCTGTTCAGATGCCTCATAAGAGCTGTTCAGATGCCTCATGAGGGCTGTTCAGATGCCTCATAGAGCTGTTCAGATGCCTCATAAGAGGCTGTTCAGATGCCTCATAAGAGCTGTTCAGATGCCTCATAAGAGCTGTTCAGATGCCTCATAAGAGCTGTTCAGATGCCTCATAAGGGCTGTTCAGATGCCTCATAAGAGCTGTTCAGATGCCTCATGAGGGCTGTTCAGATGCCTCATAAGGGCTGTTCAGATGCCTCATAAGGGCTGTTCAGATGCCTCATAAGGGCTGTGGCGTGTCTTGCCCCCCAGCCTCAGCAATGGCTGGCCCATCAAGCTGGGTCGCCGGTAAGGCAGTCCATTCGTCCCTGTACTCATTACTTTCACAAAGGTTATGTAATATGCAACATGCTGCCACCTGGATTGTGATCTTGTCCATCTTGCAGTCGTTTCTTTTCATCAAGCACCGCCACCTGCCCTTCAGTCTGCCAGAAGCGTTCTCCACCACCACTTGTGCTCGGCTTGTGATTGTACGCAAGTTGCTCAGGCTGCATGAACTCAGTTACAAAGCTGTATAACATGAGCACAACCAGCACAACTTCAGTCGACTCCATCTCCATCATGTCTGAGGTCGTAAACAACAGACGCCTAATGTACAGCGAGTGGGTGGGCGTCGCAGTATACAAGGGAACTTTGTCTTCTTCTTCTCTTGTTTTGCAGCGGATTGCAAACAACTTTAAGGTGCATACCGCCACCTACTGTACTCGCCGTGAAGTGGTTTGTGGCCTGCCAGTAAAGCCAAAGCAGAAGAAGAAGAAGTGACGGCAGCGGCTCATTTGCGTAATCTTCCCTCAGGGAAAAGTACTCCGGTGTGAACGCGATCTGTACTAAGTGCCCTGGGGGTACTAAGTGCTCTGGGGGTACTCAGTGCCCTGGGGGTACTAAGTGCTCTGGGGGTACTAAGTGCTCTGGGGGTACTAAGTGCTCTGGGGGTACTAAGTGCCCTGGGGGTACTAAGTGCCCTGGGGGTACTAAGTGCTCTGGGGGTACTAAGTGCTCTGGGGGTACTAAGTGCTCTGGGGGTACTAAGTGCTCTGGGGGTACTCAGTGCCCTGGGGGTACTAAGTGCCCTGGGGGTACTAAGTGCTCTGGGGGTACTAAGTGCCCTGGGGGTACTAAGTGCCCTGGGGGTACTAAGTGCTCTGGGGGTACTAAGTGCCCTGGGGGTACTAAGTGCTCTGGGGGTACTAAGTGCCCTGGGGGTACTCAGTGCTCTGGGGGTACTAAGTGCCCTGGGGGTACTCAGTGCCCTGGGGGTACTAAGTGCCCTGGGGGTACTCAGTGCCCTGGGGTTAAAAGCGCCGAGCCTCTGAGTGCCGGAACTAAGTACAGGAAAGTACTTGGTGTGAACGCGCCTAATGTCGAGGAAGGCTGCTCCAGAGCCACTATTTCAAGGATGCTACGTCATCGAGTCCCGCCGAAGGACTGTTCCAATGTCCAGGATACTTGGAAATCTACCGAGCCCGGCGTACTTCGTAGCGGGAAATGTCGAGGCTGCACATGTGTAGACTCCGCAGTCTTAAAATCCCCACAATGCTTTGCGCACGGACCAATTTCCAAATCTTTGGCAGAAATCGCGCTCTATTTAAGGCGGGGCCTTATGACGCACACCTGCACAGCTGTTAGCCTGTTAGCCTGTTAGCCTGTTAGCCTGTTCCACCATTCTTCGTTTTCCGAGGCTAGGAAGGATTCTTGCCTCGCTTCTGAAGCAAGTGACTCGGAAGACATGTCCTACCAAGCCAGCGTCCTGGACATTGAGAAACACCCAGTTTCTCTTAGGAACCTTCCTAACGGAGTGAAATGACCCGGAGGTCCCTCAGTGGCAGCCATGATGAGAGCTGGTTCTCTAGATGAAAGGAAAGGAGGTTTCAAACTTCCTTTATAACCTCCTTTAGCTTAGGAACCACTGGACCTCCCTAACCTAAAGGAGAGGAGAAAGTGCCGTCACACAACAGTCGGCCGTTCACGGAAACAACCGATTATGACGGAGAAATGATATCATGAAAGTTACGGTGCTTATTAAGCTTTTTAAAACGTATGTGCAGAGTCTCTAGATGAGTTTACAGTAGTCCCTCGTTCTTATTAAACATCCATGTTGTAGTCCGCTGGATAGAAAACTGTAGTTTCCATAGTTTCCCCACAGCAGCAGACGCACATTCATGACGTCCGCTGGCGCATCATAAACACGTCGGATAGTGAAGGTGCAGTCGATTCTCTAAAGCAGTGGTTCCCAAACTGTGTGCCGCGGCACACTGGTGTGCCGTGAGGCAAGTCCGGGTGTGCCGTGGGATTTTGTGACAACCATACATGATTATTGCAATATACAACTACACAAAAATAATTATTTTTTAATGTACTATATCAGTACTTTGTATGCACTCGTTTCATAATACAGAGGCAAACTCTATACCTAAAAACAATTCTTTTAATAAAAATCCTCACAGAACCCCATATTTCGCAGGTAACGCAGTTGCAGGTGGGAATTATACGACCGTGACACACCGAAGACTGAAGGACAACATTAAAACAGAGAAACACGCAAGAGGGAAAATGGAGCGCTTTCTTGTGCGGAGCAAACCACCAACCACCAGAGACTGCCGACAACCCACCACCCAAAGAAAAGAGGAAACAAACTGTCAGCAGACAGTATCATGACAGTTACCTGTCTTATGGCTTCAGTTGGACCGGGGATGGCAACAATCCTCAACCCGAGTGCGTCGTCTGTCGGGAGAAGTTAGCTAATGCGAACATGGTTCCAAGCAAGCTGAAGAGGCACTTGGAAACCAAACATCCCTTCCATGTTCAGAGAAACTTGGCCTACTTCATAAGAGCGCGGGATCTGAACCAGAGGCAGCAAGACCGTTTGTTGGATTGTGTGAAAGTGTCTGAAAAGGCAATGGAGGCTAGTTACATGCTAGCTCATTGCAAAGCAGAAGAAACCTCACACAATAGCGGAGACACTCATCCTCCCCGCTTGCAAAAAAATTGTAGGTATCATGCTGGGTCCAGATGCCGCAGATGAGCTATCCAAAGTGCCGTCGTCTGATAATACCATCAAAAGAAGAATGGACGACATGTCAGAAGACATTGAGCAACATTTGACAGAGAAACTGCAGGCGAGCGGCATGAAGAACAACAGGAGGTCACGGCTCTCTGTTGAACAGGACTTGCGAGTGGCCCTCTCCTCAGTGCCACCAAGGATTAACTAAATCTGCGCGCCCCGACAGGCACATGTATCTCACTCATTTGTAAATCGGCAAAAATATTTACAATAGCACATGTTTCTATGCTGATTGCTGAAATGTTACATTTATAATTTGTAGTGCAGGACCATGGACAGTGCAGCTTCCTTGCATTGACAGTTCTCTGCTGAGTCTCTGCTGAGTTTCCTTTGCCTAATTTTTAATTGTGTGACCTGTCTGGTTTAAATGAGTGTGTTGCTGCTTTGATGAAGCCTAATTTCATAAAGTTTCAAATTAATTGAAATATTTCGTTAATAAATATTTCATGAGTAATATAGTTGTCTTTGTCACATTTTATTTGGCATTAGTAAATAATTATGCACATTTACAGATATTTTACATGATATGAGTGATAACACGTGATATAAGGGCTATTTTGCACAATAGGTGTGCCTTGAGATCTTTACTTGTCCTTTGGTGTGCCTTGGGCACAACAAGTTTGGGAACCACTGATCTAAAGTACCGCAGTCTCTTCTCCTAAGTCCTTTTGAATTCTCCTATCCACTATCCCTTAACCCTGTGACCTTTCACTCAGAGGTCAAGGGATAGACGATAGGGTTAGAACTTAGGAGCTGTTTTTTTGGACTATTCGACTGCAACCATTGACTCTCTAAGGTAGTACACCACAGAAGAAGAACAGGGACTCTCTAAAGGTAGTACACCACAGAAGAAGAACAGGGACTCTCTGAGGTAGAACACCACAGAAGAAGGGGTGTACCTGGGCGATGCGGTGGTGCTGCAGGTTGATGACCCGGGACACGGCCATCTGGATGCTCCCGAACACAGCCACTACCTCCAGGATCTTATCATCGAAGGAGGGGGCGGTGAACGTCTGGGAGAGAGAGAGAGGCGTTACACACCGTCACAGAACAGAACCCTGCAGAACCCTACAGAACCCTACAGAACCCTGCAGAACCCTACAGAACCCTACAGAACCCTACAGAACCAGAATACAGATCTACTCACGTCGTCCTCTTTGGTTCCTCCCCAGAAGTTTGTTCCTCCGGCGTAACTCGGGATGTTCAGAACAGCTATACCCTGCAGACTGGGGAGGGGGATGGGCCGTCCATCACACTGGAGACACACACACACACACACACACACACACACACACACACACACACGGTTTAGTCTTCTTTTCAAAGATGTGGAAAATTAGTGAAGGATTAAAAAAAAGTCTGTGCCAATTTTTTGATTTTTAGAGTTTGTGTGTTACTTTGCATGTGTGTGTGTGTGTGTGTGTGTGTGTGTGTGTGTTTGTGTGTTTCACCTCCAGCAGAACCCTCTGCTCCAGGTTCTTGTAGGTTCTGTGCAGCAGCTCTTTGGTTCCCAGGACTCCGTACCACATCATGTTCTTAGTTCGGCTTCTGAACACACACACACACACACACACACACACACACACACACACACACACACACACACACACACACACACACACACACACACACACACACACACACACACACACACACACACACACACACACACACACACACACACACGGACGTGTTAAACTGGTGTAATGCTTCTGCTGCAGTAGCTGTGATCGTCCAGCAGAGGGCGGTGTGGCTGCAGACTGAACAGGAAGTGCTAGAGGACAGTTCATCAGAGCTGTTCTCAAAGAAGAGACTTCTTGATATCAAAGGTGACATAAATGAGTTGATTTATTGTTGAATAAATGTTGGCTTCCCTAAACAGGTCATTCCTCGACATGCCCTTATATGGAAACACGGTCAGAACACTTTTATATATATATATATATGTATATACTCTATATATTTATATATACTGTATTACTCCATACATATTAGGGCGGGCCAGGAGAGGGAGTTAGATATCTAGAAAACGCAGGGTTGCCAACTCTCACTGCTCTGGCGTGTGACACGCTTTCTCTCTCCATCTCACGCTCTCACTCTCCATCTCACTCTCCATCTCACGCTTTCTCTCTCCATCTCACGCTCTCACTCTCCATCTCACGCTCTCAGTCTTCACTCTCCATCTCACTCTCTCACTCTCCATCTCACGCTCCTCACTCTCCATCTCACGCTCTCACTGCTCCATCTCACGCTCCATCTCACGCTCTCACGCTCTCACGCTCCATCTCACGCTCTCACTCTCCATCTCACGCTCTCACTCTCCATCTCACGCTCTCACTCTCCATCTCACGCTCTCACTCTCCATCTCACTCTCCATCTCACGCTCTCACTCTCCATCTCACGGTCTCACTCTCCATCTCACTCTCCATCTCACGCTCTCACTCTCCATCTCACGCTCTCACTCTCCATCTCACGCTCTCACTCTCCATCTCACGCTCTCACTCTCCATCTCACTCTCCATCTCACGCTCTCACTCTCCATCTCACGCTCTCACTCTCCATCTCACGCTCTCACTCTCCATCTCACGCTCTCTCTCTCCATCTCACGCTCTCACTCTCCATCTCACGCTCTCACTCTCCATCTCACGCTCTCACTCTCCATCTCACGCTCTCACTCTCCATCTCACGCTCTCACTCTCCATCTCACGCTCTCACGCTCTCACTCTCCATCTCACTCTCTCACTCTCCATCTCACGCTCTCACTCTCCATCTCACGCTCTCACTCTCCATCTCACTCTCTCACTCTCCATCTCACGCTCTCACTCTCCATCTCACGCTCTCACTCTCCATCTCACGCTCTCACTCTCCATCTCACGCTCTCACTCTCTCACTCTCCATCTCACGCTCTCACTCTCCATCTCACTCTCTCACTCTCCATCTCACGCTCTCACTCTCTCACTCTCCATCTCACGCTCTCACTCTCCATCTCACGCTCTCACTCTCCATCTCACGCTCTCACTCTCCATCTCACTCTCTCACTCTCCATCTCACGCTCTCACTCTCCATCTCACACTCTCACTCTCCATCTCACGCTCTCACTCTCCATCTCACTCTCCATCTCACACTCTCCATCTCACTCTCTCACTCTCCATCTCACGCTCTCACTCTCCATCTCACACTCTCACTCTCCATCTCACTCTCTCACTCTCCATCTCACGCTCTCACTCTCCATCTCACGCTCTCACTCTCCATCTCACGCTCTCACGCTCTCACTCTCCATCTCACGCTCTCACTCTCCATCTCACGCGCTCACTCTCCCTCTCACGCTCTCACTCTCCATCTCACGCTCTCACTCTCCATCTCACGCTCTCACTCTCCATCTCACCTCTCACTCTCCATCTCACGCTCTCACTCTCCATCTCACGCTCTCACTCTCCATCTCACGCTCTCACGCTCTCACTCTCCATCTCACGCTCTCACTCTCCATCTCACGCTCTCACGCTCCATCTCACGCTCTCACTCTCCATCTCACGCTCTCACTCTCCATCTCACGCTCTCACGCTCCATCTCACGCTCTCACTCTCCATCTCACGCTCTCACTCTCCATCTCACGCTCTCACTCTCCATCTCATCTCACGCTCTCACGCTCCATCTCACGCTCCATCTCACGCTCTCACGCTCCATCTCACGCTCTCACTCTCCATCTCACGCTCTCACTCTCCATCTCACGCTTTCTCTCTCCATCTCACGCTCTCACTCTCCATCTCACGCTCTCACTCTCCATCTCACGCTCTCACTCTCACTCTCCATCTCACGCTCTCACGCTCCATCTCACGCTTTCTCTCTCCATCTCACGCTCTCACTCTCCATCTCACGCTCTCACTCTCCATCTCACGCTCTCGCTCTCACTCTCCATCTCACGCTCTCACTCTCCATCTCACGCTCTCGCTCTCACTCTCCATCTCACGCTCTCACTCTCCATCTCACGCTCTCACTCTCCATCTCACGCTCTCACGCTCCATCTCACGCTCTCACTCTCCATCTCACGCTCTCACGCTCCATCTCACGCTCTCACTCTCCATCTCACGCTCTCACTCTCCATCTCACGCTCTCATCTCCATCTCACGCTCTCACTCTCCATCTCACGCTCTCACTCTCCATCTCACTCTCCATCTCACTCTCCATCTCACGGTCTCACTCTCCATCTCACTCTCCATCTCACGCTCTCACTCTCCATCTCACGCTCTCACTCTCCATCTCACGCTCTCACTCTCCATCTCACGCTCTCCATCTCACTCTCCATCTCACTCTCCATCTCACGCTCTCACTCTCCATCTCACGCTCTCACTCTCCATCTCACGCTCTCACTCTCCATCTCACGCTCTCTCTCCATCTCACGCTCTCACTCTCCATCTCACGCTCTCACTCTCCATCTCACGCTCTCACTCTCCATCTCACGCTCTCACTCCATCTCACGC